TTAATATATGGCAACCTATTTTCCTTTCCCTTCCATTGTGCAGGAGCCAGAAACATCATTTCTATCTTTTTACATTGTGCTTGAGCGTAAAAAAGTCGCATCATTCCTACTTTTAAATAGTTTTAACAAAGTGCCTAAACCACATTTGATGTTATTATCACTTTCAACAAATATGCCAAATTTCAAAACATCCCAATATATAAATTCACACATATCTCCAGAAATTTTGAATAAAAAACTGTAATTTTTGCAGGTATGCTTAGAAATAAATCTACTTTGAGGTGATAGTAAAAATTTTATAGATTATAATTCAAAATTCCAAAGTGACGGATCTCCTGGTTATAGCTTAAATTGCACAAAGGGGACCCACAAATAAAAGGTTTAAAAATGTTGTTTGCAGTAATAATATCATTACACCCATCATATAATAATTCTTTCGTACTAAATAGTACATGATGTGGCATTTAGGAAATACTTTTACCTCAAGTGTCTATCGTGTAGCTGCGTAGTCAAAATTTTTTATCAAGAAAGGTCTAAATATTACTTAGTAATCAGTATGATACACATAACCATATTTTATTACTACTTTTCAATCATATTTGTTATAAAAAGTAAGTGACCTTCTGGGAAAACTCCATTTCTATAGTGAGGTATTAACTATCAGTACATTGCCACATGACCAGCAGTCTACATGTCAATCGGAAAATCCCATTAATAAAACATAACTGTTGATGCCTGCAATGTATTTCTTCAATGCAATGGCTTTTTTCCATCATCTGTTATTTCACTAGATCGAAAACAAACATATCGCCACAAGCTAGTAGCAGAAGATTTTTGTGTATTGTTAACAGGAACTGTGTTTACTTAGTAATGATATGCATCTATCAGATAATATCATTTCTCTTTATAGTACTGATTATGTATATTGCATTGCATGTATTCCATTAACAATTTTCTGAGCATGTTAACGATCTTTCTTGTTTCCCATGGCCTTCTCAGTTACCAGACTTCAGTATTACACAGCTTTTAAAATAATGTTTAAGATCACTATCTGCTTTTAACATATTTGTGAGCATAACATATTTATGTGAAGTGCAGGAAAAATTATATAAAATCTTGTTATTTGCTGTCCAGGGTTTATATTTCTCTATTCTGAGAAGAATTTCTAATGTCTTGAATGCAAAAAATACTGTCAAAGAAATTCATTCTTTTAGTAGATGTTGTCTCTCCACCTCCCCTAATCTACTTATCTCAATCATTATCAAAACAAGCACCTTCAAGATGAGAGATTCACTTAACCAGCAAAACAAAATGTAAAAAAGGACTCCCTTAATGAGCGATGTTTTGCAGAACGATGACATGGAGATACCATCACATCACATGTAGAATCCTGCTTGGATCTTAGCTATCAGTCTGTGTTCTGTGTTTGTTCAACTAGCCTCTTACTAACTCTTGTAAAAGTGGTAGTCAGACACATTATTATGTAATTTTTAGTTCAAAGTTTAAGCATGCTTTCTTGTTTTTCTCCAAAAATGCTGCAAGGAGACAGGGGTAAGAGAAGAAAAATACTATTGAAGTCAAACAGAAAATCACTGGCAGACGAGATTGAGCTGTGAGCTTAGTTGACCTACCACACACATAAAATTGGTGGTCTGCATCAATTATTCACACTACTCTTGAGATTGATGCTTCGAAGGGTGTCACAAAAATTTTTATGCAGCAGCCAAGTATTCTCAAAGCTGTTGAAATATGACTTCTTGTAGGGATCAACAAGAAGCAAATGCAAGGTGACACTATTAACGAAAACATAATTTGTGAGAAGGCAAAATAATTTTTGCTGACCTCGTTAAGAAGGCACCTGGATCATCAATGGATGAAGATGAAGCATTCAAGACAAGTGGTGAGTTGAAAAGTTTAAGAGAAGGACAGCCATGTACAATGTTGTGAGGCACAACAAACTCATATATGAAGGAAGCCGAGACTTTCATCGATTTAAGAATCTTGGGAATTGTGATGGTTATTTGCTGCAGCAGGTTTTTAATTATGATAAGATGGCTCTTTTCTGGAATAAGTGATGAAGTGAATTTATATTACATCAGAGAAGAAAGCATTGCAGCACAACAAACCAAAGACCATCTCACGCTGTTGTTTTGTATGGGAAAGGATCAATAACAGAACCCTTATTTCTGCATGGAAAAAGCTTTGGCCAGACAGTATTGTTGAATGCAATTTTGAGAGCTTTGGTCAAGTGCTTGTGGAACTTGCAATCGACAAGACCAAGATTATGGAACTTATGGAGATTACTATAAGAACTTGTAGAACTAGAGTTAGATAGTAATGACATTGTTGAACGGAAGAACGTAGCCATGACCTAACCACTGAAGAGCTTATGGAGCTGCATTTTCTTTCACAGCAAAAAGTTACAGAGGACATTTCATCAAGGGAAGAAAATGAAATAATGGGGATGATGTTGCAAAGAAACCACATACCAGTAAAATAAAAGTGATGCTAAAAGTATGGGAAACTATTGCATCTTGTGTTGACAAGCATTACCCTAATGCTGAGTATGCTATAAATTTATTATAAATTTATATATAAAAAAATAGGGTTCCATTTCTGCCAAATTTTGAAACACAGGCAGAGAAACAAATGTCTTTAGACAATTCTCTTGTGAAAAAGGATGTATTATGAACAATGAATTACATTATTATTTGAGTGTTTTTTTTTTTTTTTTTTTTTTTTTTTTTTTTTTTTTAAGAATGGAATGCATTATCCTATGGAAAAAAAAATTTCTTCACTTAACAAGTGTTTCGAATAAGGTTTAGGAACCAATTATGCTCATTAAACAATGTTCCATTTTATTTTGTAGAAGCAGATTTCATTAGCCTTTAGTTGGATGTAATTAAATCAGTTTTGAAAATTAAAATTCTTTTCTAGAGAATGAATAGTAATCAGGAATATTTGAGAGTTATCGAAATGCAGTGATAAGATCTTTTTAAACCAGTTCTTAATGATTTTAGACTTAAGTTCCACTTCTAGTAAAATTTTGAAATTTATATATATATATGTATGTTTGTTATAGCCATTAACTTTTTAGATTATTTTATGCTAATTAATCAGTTATTGTGATTTAAAAATTTATTGTTAACTCAGTTTTCCCATAGTCCTCCTCACCAGGATACAAATTAACGTTACAGAATATCTATGTTGAGGGGTTTGAATGTTAGACATAGCGCTTTTGGCAGCATCACCTATGGTTTGCATCTCTTGCATAGCTCTGCTAGTAAATAGTCTGGCCTTAGCCATTCTGCTAGCCTACATTAAAATGTGCCGTTTAAATATTGAGCCAGTTTAAGTAAGCCAATCCGTGTAGTCTCTGATTACAGTACTTTTAATTTTAAATTTCAGCTTATGTTATTCTAAATACTTGCAAATGGTGGATTTATTTGTGCACATGAATTGCACTTTCTGTTTGTGTAAATAGTAAATAAAAAGGTTATTTAAACTTTCTTAAAGACTTTTTTTATAATTCAGATAAAGGAATTATTTGCTTGTCAGTTCAATAGGGTGTGAAGGTGTTTGATTTAAATTTTGCACTTCCCTATAACTTCTAACTCTGAAAGTTCATTTTTTCTAGTCTCTAAAAAAATATTTGAAAGTCTCTTATGCTTCCTCATTTACGAAAACAAAACAAAACAAACAAACAAACAAACAAACAAAAAAAAAAAAAAACTGAAAGCTTTCAGATTTACATTATGCCCAAAGGGGTCGCTTTTTTAACATTCTATGTGTTACCTTTATTTATTAAATATCATGTTCTCATTCAAGCCATAAAATTCAATTCAACTGCAATATCGCAAAATAATTTTAAAATGATAATACCTTTAGAATTTCCAATACACAATCTCGTGCGCTGGAGATAAAAATGTTTTTTTCCCCGTACACAATGTTGCCATTGCTCGCTTTTAAATTGTTGAGTTTGCTAACCAAAGAGTCATTAAAGTGTTACAAATATGAAATCTATAATAAAACAAATTTTAAATTCCAAATTAGGGCTTCCAGATGCCCGTATTTAGTGGAAGATTACATTATTCAAAATTTGATGACTGTAGGTACCATTGTTTTATCACAGTGGCAGACACATATATACATTTATGCAGATTCTTCATTAGTTAATTTCTTTAAATATAACACAGAGCGATAATATTTGGTGGCAACAATTTGAACAGTGTATCAACGTTTATAGTGAATTGACGCATAATGCCAAAATGAAATTAATAGTCCTTCTGGGCAAATTGCCCCTTTGGATTAAAAACTAAAAAGCCCTGATTTGATTGTGTGTTACAAATCAACAATTATGTATTAGCTGTTGTTAGAAAACATTCCATTTTCAATTCCTGAAATTAAGTCCAGATTTTTGTTCCCCCCCCCCAAAAAATTACCGGTAGAGTATTTTTATATGAGTATGAATTTTTAAAAGTTCTTCAAAAGGAGAATTTTCATAGTGCATTGAGTAATATTAACTGTATAAAAATACTTAAAATATATAAAAATTTATTTCTGTAGTGTATATCATGGAAAATGGTAAAGAACTGTGGACTGCAATTTTCGCTTTTTTTATAGGCTGATGTGCAGAATTTAATTTGGGATTCATACTTCAAATTCATTTGCACCCTTAATATCTATCTGTCTATATATATGTAACCACATATAGACACACACGCATGTGCAAAGAAAGCTCTCACACAAATTACCTCTGAAAATTATCTATGTTTTAGGGAAAACAATTTAAATAGTGATACTGAATATCTCCGATATCATGTTATTTCCACAGAACACAGAAGTTGTCTGTTTGCAGATGATCTGTTGATTAATGTTAATTGAATTGCAGGAGTTGCAGATAAGCTCTTAATTGCAGAGAAAAATTAATCTTTTGTTAAATGACAGGATGTTAAAGCTGGAAGCTATAAAAGTGCTAATAAATGAAGTCCCTTTTTTAGTTCCATTGATGAAATTGTGTTGAGTTATATTACTGGAATATTGAAATCATTTGGAAGTTCAGGTTCACCAGATGATGCATTTGATGTAAATGAATTTGCAGAAATGATGAGTGCTTATATCCCAGCCTTTTCAAATTTAAACAGGTGAGTAAATTTTGAGTTTTAAAGCCTTTGTAAATCTTGCACATTAAATTTTTTAAATTCTCATCTTTGTGACTGTTAACTAAAATAAAACTTCGTTAGGAACATTTGTTCTGATGATATGCATTCCCCCCCCCATTGTAGCTGATGTTAATCTCTGCAAAAGTATCAATGTCAGAAAAATGTGTTATAGAAGTGACACAGATTATAGTGCTATGGCTTAGGATAAGAACAGCCTACAGCATAGCTAAACTATAAGTCACTTGATATCATAAATCATATTGAGAACTACTGCTTTTAGTTAGCTGTTTTGTTATTTAGCAGCAAACATTAATTTACGTTCTTGAATATACAGTACAAAGTCTTTAATCCAGATGTCCATAATCCAGACCTCAAAGCTACAAACTTTCTGCGCATGTGTAGCGTTTACGTGTGCATAATATGTTTATGCATGCGCTTTTAATGCATAACAGATGGTATAAGCTAGGCTAAAATTATCTAATTATCTATTTCAGTTAATGTTGCAGATTGCATTGTTCCTTAATCCTCTGATTGGATCCAGCTTATTATTTTTTGCAGACTGTTAGAGCAATTTTATAAAAAATAAGCTTGAACTTTTGATTATGTCAAAAAGAGTTTCCGATTCAGGAGCTGCCAAAGGATCTACAAAGCGAAAGCGTGTTTCAGTGGCCATAAAAAAAAAGTGGAATTGCTGCTTAAAATGGATAAAGGCATGAAGAAAGTGACCGAGAGGTTAGTGAAAACGAAAAAATTTTGATTGATAAGTTAGTCGGTATTCTCGTCACAGCAATTACAGGACTTGAACAGCAAAACTTTGTAACTGAACAAGAAATTATGTCTGTTTATAGAATTAAAGAGAAAGTATTAGCACATAAAATGAAGCAACTTAAACAACTTCAATTAAAAGAAATTTTTAATAAAATAAACAAATAAATATTAAGCTTTTTTTTAGTAAATTTTGATACCCTTTAGACCATAATTGCTCTTTATTTCATAAAGTATGGTTTCATATTTTTAATTTTATAATTTCTGCATGCCATCTTACCAGATTTAAATTGATGATCTATAATTCAGAAAAACCCCTAATCCGGAATCTCCGAAGTCCAGACGAGTCCGGATTAAAGACTTTGTACTGTATAAATATTATTATTGCAATTTTGAATATTTGTAAAGTTATGTGAAATTAATGCTATGTTCCAAACGTTTTTAACCTTTGACTGCAAATCTGAAAAAAGTAACATTGCTACTGAACTGTCGTATTACTTTTGATGCAGCACATATACTTATGTTAATTATGTTTTGTTAACTTAGTACATTGGGACTAATTCCTTGGTCTTAAAATATGTTTATTATTATGAAATGCTGTTTGGAAATGTGAGTACAAGGTGTGTGTGTGTGTATATATATAATGTTGTATGATCTTAAATTCACTTAGTTCGAAAACAAGTTAATCTAATACTTGCACAATAGCTGCAAAGTAAGATAATAATAATAATTTATTTACTAAAGAAATATTGATTATATTATCTCCTAATATTAATTTTAGTAGAAGTATCTAAAAAGATTGAACCCATAGGTAGGAAGTTTAATTCCGAAAATTTTTTTAAAGTAACTTGAATGTAAATTGTTTAAAATGTTTTATGGGGACGTGAAGTAAATCATGAATAACAAAATTTCAAATTGTGAAAAAGAAATGAAATTAAAAGCAAGTAATTATTGCTATTGATCGGAAATTAGTTGACTTTTCAACGGGAACTCCCATTCAATGAACAATAATTAATAAATAAATACGAAGGTGTTTCGTCTTTTACTCAAGTAATTATGGTGATGCCAAACTGGCAAATTAAGTTAGGCCAAATATTTCCGTGAAGGGAAGGTATTTAGAACCAAAGTAGAGTACCAAAGAACTCATTCTAAATTAAGCATTTTCGCTAATACAAATTTTGAGTGAAAAGCAATTTATGTAGTAAAATTGATAAAATACTTGAGTAATTGTCCTCCCGACACCCTCGCTTTTATGCATGTTAAATCAAAACTATTTGTAAAAAAAATAAACATTGTTAATTGGAATTATGAAATAGAACTCAGTAACTGAAATAAACATTAGAAAATTCAGAAATATAATGCAATCTTTACAAAAACAAATCAAATAATAAAAATTTAAAATTATTATATATATAATAAGAAAAGGGAATGTACATGAAGATATAAAAGTCCAGAAAAAGCATTAATTAACTTACGTTCTTTCTAGTGGGATGTGGGCTAATGTTTATTTCAATTACTTTGAGTAAACAGGTGCATTAGGGATCATAAGGGATGATATATTATAAAAGAAAAGTGTTTTTAGGTCTCATTCAGTATCAGTGTATATACTCATTCAGTATCAGTATATATACTCATTCAGTATCAGTATATATACTCATTCAGTATCAGTATATAGTATACTCATTCAATATCAGCATATCAAGAATAAAAACTTGAATGGAGCTACAGAGTTGTCCTGTATTCTTCACTGTAAGTCCGTAATGTGTACAAGGATGTGCATGGTACTAGAAGAGACAAATTACATAGGATGCGAAAAGTTTTGAAGTGCTCTCTTATGTATTCATTAAACAGTTTAATAGTATTAGTATGCACTTTTGGGGATTATAAATAACATGCATCTCCTTATAACTGAAAATTAAATTATAATTATCAAATGAATTTAATGATTATATTTATTTGTTTATTAACATTTCATTATTACATTATTTTCGTCTAGGAATTTCCTTTTTCCCCACTGAACATTACATACATGTAAGTCACAAGGCTGAAAAACACTGCTATAAACAAATAATCCGATCCAGTTCCAGTTGAACAGCACTAATTAGCACTAATTGTTTACGGAAAGTATCCTAATTTTGATTTTATGTGCTTATTTAATTAAATATGGCGAAGCATACAAGGTGTGTCTAGGCATGATTTGATGGAGAATTTGCTAAGGAAAATGGGCTCATATTTATATACCTTAAGGAAATCCACGAAAATCCTTACACATAGTGGTAGGCTGTAGGAGGGCTCGTTCAATCCATTTGTTAACTTTGCATCTAATTTTCAAGTCCCCCCATTTTTTTGGCTAGTTTATTCATTCAAAGGAAAATAAATGCTACTCGCTGAACTTTGCACTTTAGTCTGAATAACTGCTAAACCTGATGAACAGTATATTTCTGTGACAAGGACAGCTTTCTGACTTTACAATCTATTTTACATTTAGCGAGCTTGTGATGACTAAGTTTATTCGCTATTTTGTTTAATTTCTGCAATATTTTGTAATTCTTATATTTTTGTAAATTTCCAAAATTCCTTATTGGCTGCGGGGGCTTTGAATTATTTCAGGTGGCGAAAACTTGTGAGAAGTAATTTATGGGACAAGGGAAGGCCTAGGAATGCTTGAGGGATGTTTGTTGCAGATTTATTATGTGAGTGAAAACGTTTGTTAAAATTTTGAATATACTAGTGGAATGGAAATTAATTAATTCAAAGCCCCCTGCTGCCGATAAGAAATTTCGGACAGACAGACAACCCTTCTGAGTAAGAAACCAAAGAGAACACTTTGGCCACATCCCACTAGAAAAAACGTAAGTTAATTAATGCTTTTTCTGACCTTTCATATCTTCATGTACATTCCCCCTTTTTCCCCTTATTATATATATTCTTTTCAATTTTTATTATTTAATTTGTTTTTGCAAAGATAGCATTGCATTTTTTAATTTTCTAATGTTTATTTCAATTACTCTGAGTTCTATTTCATAATTCCAGTTAAGATTACCAATTTTTATACAAATAGTTTTGAATTAACATGCATAAAAGTGAGGGTGTCGGGCTCAATTACTCAAGTATTTTATCAATTTTACTACATAAATTGCTTTTCACTTTAAATTTGTATTAGCAAAAATGCTTAATTCAGAATGAGTTCTTCGGTACTCTACTTTGGTTCTAAATACCTTCACTTCACAGAAATATTTGGCCTAACTTAATTTGCCAGTTTGTCATCACCATAATTACTTGAGTAAAAGACAAAACACCTTCGTATTTATTTATTAATTACTAGCCGCTATGCGGCCAGCCTTCGTCTGACTTTTAAACGTATGCCTATATATGCATTGTCTAGATGCACCTATGTACCAAATTTCAAAGCTGTGGGTCTATTAGCTTACGCACAGCGCAAACGAAAGACACACACAGACAGACTTGTTCGTTTATTATATGTAGAGAAAATCATGCAAAACTTTTCGATATCTTACAAACAGTGAAATAAGCAAAAAATAACATGAAAGAAACCCAAAAACAAAAAATTCTGTGCAGAATTTTACTCTGCAGAACAACTTTATCCAAAAAAAAAAATCAATAAAAATGTATTATATATATAAAAAATTGGCAATGAAATATGCCAATCTCTTAAAAACAGTGACATAAGAAATACGATGAAAAATTGTTGCCAAACCTATATTTCTAAAAGAATGAAACTATTCAAAATGATGCAATTTCATAAAAAATCTATCAACAACAATAAGAAAGGAAAACTGTTGCCAAAATGACATTTTAAAGATGTGAGATGTGAGAAGTGTACTCGAAAGCTTCATCGAAATTTTTTTTTTTTAAAATACAAAATATTATCATTTTTCCGAAATTCTTTTTGTAAAAGCAGTTGCAAGGATAAAAGTTTAATATGTCCAAAAATCAAAGAAAAATAAACTGTTTATTTTTTTTTAAAAAAAGTTTTTAGAAAAAATCCAGTTGAAAAGGTGTTAAGCTCACTTTGTTATATAAATTCGTATTTAATTGATTTATTGAAACACGAAGTTTATTTTAAGGTCATAAAATAGTTAAGTGCCTACTTTTCATGACGATGTGAAAATGGAGTGTGTAGAGTAAAATCTCGCTTTCCTATAGCCCATTATGTCTCACAATAACTCGATTTTGTCACAAAACATAAAATAAAAAAAATTCTAATTCTAATTTCAAAAAAATTGCTTCGAGGTGCACTGACTCTTGTCTAGATGCACCTATGTACCAAATTTTGTAGCCGTGGGTCTATTAGCTTACGCGCAGTGCAAGCGAGAAACACACAGACAGACTCTTTCATTTATTATATGTAGAGATTGTTCATTGAACGGGAGTTGGTTTGTTCCCCTTGAAAAGTCAACTAATTTCTGATCAGTAGCAATAATTACTTGCTTTTAATTTCTTTTTCACAGTTTGAAATTTTGTTACCCATGATTTACTTCAAGTCCCCGTAAAACATTTTTAATAATTTACATTCAAGTTACTTTAAAACATTTTTCGGAATTAAACTTCCTACCTATGGGTTCAATCTTTTTAGATACTTCTACTAAAATTAATATTAGGAGATAATATAATCAATATTTCTTTAGTAAATAAATATATATACACATGGCAAGGCAAGTGGCAGTAGTGATGTTGATCACTTATTGTGGCAGTAGCATCCATTCCTGTAATAATGCATGTGAGAGCTTGGAGATGGTGCCTTGGGGCACATTGTGCTCTGCTATCCGTCATCCCAACATGTCCCTCACACATTCTATGGCATTCGTATCCAGTGATTGCTGTGAAATGGTTTCATTCTCCAGATAACTCCGAACCACTCGAGCTCTTTGTGGACGGCTGTTATCATCCATAAATATTGTGTCAGTACCCATTGCAGTGATAAAGGACAGACAAGAGGTTTAGAATTTGATTGCAGTATTGGATGGCTGCGACCGAACCACTAAAAATCACAGAGAGGTTGATGCAGCCATTAATTGCTATCCCAGCCCATGCAAGTAAGCCTTTTTCTCTTCTCCCTTTTGACAATGTTTGGTTCCTGATAGTGTGTCTGGTGCTCCCGCCATATCATTTGCCTTAGGGAATCGTTCTGGGTGTTAAATGAGGACTCTTCCATAAAGAGTATGTGACCCCACTGCTCTGGTGTCCAGCTACAATGTTCACTCTCCCAATTCAACTATGCTCTGACATGTGATGGGGACAAAGGGACACAAACAACAAGTCGTCGGGCATACAGTCCATCTTCATGCAGGCAAAGTGACACAGTTTGCAGTTCATGCAGTCAAAGCGACACAGTTTGCCAGGATATGGGCTGTCATGTAGTAGCACCAGCTGTCATACTGTGAATGTGATGTGACGCCAGCTGTCATACTGTGAATGATCTACGGCATCTTTGCACATAGCAACAGAAGGCAATCATCTGCCTGCTGTGGTAATTCTCTGACATTCAAACCTTTATCTTCTACAGGGGCTTTGATCCCTTTCATAATGAATCCATAGCCAACTGATGACACAAAAATGCACATTCAGCTTTCTCGCTACAGCAGATTGTCTTGCACCAGCTTGTAAGATCCCAACAGCCTTCTAACACAACAGCCTTCTTCATGCAGATAATGTGGTCGGCTCATGCTTTCCACTTCAGCTATTTCGGATTACATGGAGCTATCGCTGCTTGTGAAATGATGCATAGGTCTGGCATGTCCCTTTTTAAGGTAATGTAGTATGACTGTGGGATTCTGTTTTATGCTAATTTTGGTTGCTTATTTGCATTTGGTGGTGCAACCTCTACCTCCATATGTATGTAAGCTATATGTTTTTGTTTCCCTTTTTACATTGTACCTTTTTTTTTAGTGTTTGTTGCTTATTTTTTGAACATCTGAGGACATATATATGTATGTATGTATAAATAAATATAAAGTTTCTTTTAATTCATTGTTTGGTAATCGGATAAGCCGAAATCATGTTCTATACCAAATAAATTTATTAATTTTATAAAGATTTTGTGATTTCAGATTAATTTAAATCATATAAGATGCTCAAATATTTTTTAAAAGGCTCTTGTTGTATTTCATCAAAATACCCCAGTTAAATGTTGACTGATAGCAGGCTTACTGTATCATTTATTGCTGTACTTTTATGCATTTTTTCTTTTTCTCTTTTCTTTCTGCTTTTTATTTATTTATTTATTTATTGTTAGTCTTGTTTTGTTTTCATCATATAAGTAAATTAAAATCTCTTTCATAGCTCTCGTATATATGACTGGATGATGTATTTGTCTAGTTTTCTGGAAGAAAATTCAAATGATACTGGTGAGATATTACATATATTTTTTATTTTATTCTTGTTTCACTAAGGTAATTTTACATATTTTTTTAATTGCTTATAGGATTAAATATTTAAGTTTGGTACTAAGTCTCAAATTTATTGTTTATTCATGAGATCTGGAACCCCTGATCATGGCCCATCAGCGGCCGAGCGGCAAAGTCGCTGAACACTGGTAGTTCGGTCCAAGGTTCGAATCCTGTGAAAGGGCTGGCTGCATGGGCGTTTTCGTGGTTTTCCCCCATGTGTAACATGTATACAAGTCAGTTTCTTTTAGAAAGTCCTCCACAAAGGTATCCCTTCCCTTAGGCAGATAGCCATAGTGTGCTTTGCCATAATTAAATACACCAACACCATCTCCTGATCAGAGCCAAAATGCTAATTGTTTGCACGAATATGGCTGAAATTGTTGTGACACTTACCCTAAGTTTTACTAATGTTAAGTTGAAATAAACGCTCTCGTATTTTTCTCTGATTCACATAACATATACTTGCTCAGACCACAAATGTAAAATAAATGCTTTAAATTTAAGGACTAATGAATGTTTAACTGCAATGTATGGCATTTTTAATGAAGTGCTTCCGTACTGTAGGTGATTATATGCCCTGATCCAACTACATGTATTTGGAAAGGAAATTTGAAAATCTGCAAATCTCTTTTGTTTTCTTTAAAAAATATCAACCAGTCATGAAAATCATATTTTTATTTGTGTTTCACAGTAAGTGATGATTTTATGCATAGGAAACATTAATAACATCTGTGAGTACCTTGGCCACCAAACTTTTAGTATCAGAAGTAATGAGGGAAGACTGTTGGTAGCAATCATCTTTGACTAGCATTAATTTATTCATAAGGACCCTTTACCTGAAGGGTATGTAATAAATTCTTTGTTCTACAAAAAATAAAATAGACCAGTTCCTTGAAAGGATCCACTGTGCACTAAGCCAGAAAAAGCTTGATTGGGCAACTGGTTTTGTTGCCTAATAATGCTTTTATGCAATAGAACTATTGTCCAACTCTTTGTTGCACCCCTTCAAAAAAATGGGGGACATTACTAGATTAGGTGCCCACTGATAATCCTCCTTCCCCAATGAGCGAGTTACAAGATTTAATAATGAAGATACTATTGGGAGTATTTCAGAAATTCATAAAAATGCAACAAAGAATTGAAGACAGTTGACTTTTGCTGAGGTATCCATTAAGTACTCAAGTGTTCTATAATATTTGAAGTAATTAAAAAAATCTATGTTAAAAGTTCCTCCATCCAGATAGAGAAAAGTCTGAATTTGGGGGGTTTTAACCCTAGAAATTTATTAAATGCAGTGCAGATACATAAAAGTTCAGGCATGAAAATATAGCAAAATTGTTATATATGTGGGATTTTAAATCCATAGCTTAATATTTTTCCTCGTGCACTGTCTAAATTTTAGCTGTTGATTGCACAAGTGAAATTGATAGAACTCTTGCAACTTTGTTTTACGAGAGGAGCTGTAAGATGTTATGCATGTTGCATTAATATATGTAAGACAATATAAATGTTGTCATGTTAATAGATATAAGATGTTAGAGATGCTGTATTAATAGATGAACGATCTTATAGATGTATTAATGTTTCATTAAATGTGTTTTGTTTGAATATGAATTGTGATTTTGAAACTAAAGAACCCACAAAATTGGTGTCAGAAGTGGGATCAAATTACAAGCAACAAATAGAGGAATATGCAGCAATATTGGATGAAAAAGAAATACTTCTGTTAATAGTGAAATCGATGCATCAACTGCTCGAATTTTCAACAACTCTTTTTATGCTGCTGTTGATGAAGATCATGAGCTAAAACAAAATATTAGTAAGTCATCAGTTCAATTTCCATTTTCACAGTTTTCAAATGTGTATCTAAATTTTGATGATATTGAAAGCTTGATTTCTAAATTTGACGGTAATCTGTATAATTTGGTTGATAAATTTATTGAAAACTTTGAGGATGTATCTAATTTGTTAAAACTAAATGAATTACAGAAACTGATATTCGCCTGGTAAATCAAAATTATTTATTGAAAGTGAAACGTGTGTGATTATGGCAAAGCTTTGAGGGCTATCTGCCTAAGGGGAGGGATGCCTTTGTGGAGGACTTTCTAAGGGAAACTGGCTCGTATACACGTTACACATGGGGAAAACCACGAAAACGCCCATGCAGCCAGTCCGTTCGTGGGATTCGAACCTCGGACTGAACTAGCAGTGTTCACCGACTTTACCGCTTGTGTGCTGGTGGGCCCTTGAAAGTGAAATGAAAATTAATTCTTGGAATGCGGTTAAGGCTTTATAAGTAAATGAATATGGTGTTCAGTATAACTCTGCTCAGTTAACATGAATTATTATCGAAACGAAAAATGCAGGAAAAGGAATCTCTATATGAATATTTTTTGGTAAAAATTCTGGTAATTAAAAATTAATAAATCTATGTTCCAATGGTAATATTGGAAACGTCACTTTAATTGAATATCTTATTAATGGTATAAATGATTCTACATTTAATAAAGCTATTCTTTATGGTTGTAAAACTTTGGCAGAATTTCAGGAAAAACTTAAGATATATGAAAAAATTAAATTAGATAATTATGAAAACAAATCCGTTAAGCCTAATTCTAAAACCAAAGGCGACCATATTGAAAGTAAAATAAAAACAAATATTTGTTACTATAACTACGGAAATCTTGGTCACGCGGAGAATTTTTGCAAAAATAAGAGCAAGGTGAAAAAATGCTTTCATTGCGATTTATTTGGACACATAGCTTCGAAATGTACAAAACATAAGACGAATATAAAAGATCTTGCCAGAGTGAATCATATATTTGTAGAGAAGCAGTTGATTGATATGCATAAAACTGTATCGATAGATAATGTAGAAGTAATAGCTCTGATTGATACAGGAAGTGATATAAATATAGTATCGGAAACATTTATAAAGTAATTGGTTCACCTAATATTAATTCTTCCGATTTGATTCTAGTAGGCTTTGGTAACAATAAAGTAAAACCTAATGGTTATTTTAAAGGTTCCATACGAATCGATGATTGTGAAATTAAATCAAATATTTATGTTGTGTCTCAGGGAACAATGAAAGAAAATGCCGTTATTGGAAATGAATTGCTTTCGCAAATGGAAATCATTATAAACAAGAGTGGGATATGTATGAAAGTAGCAGAAGATGAAACCGAATCGAATTTAATGAATGTAAATGTAGATCAAGAAGATGAGTTAGATAATCATTCGGATATTAATAAAGCTTGTAAGTCCAAAGTAAACCACTTAATTGAATGCTATATTCCTAATAAAACGAAAAACCGTATGGAAGAAACAGATGCTGCTTCAGATGAGTTAAAGGAAGAGGAGTCTCAGGAAGAAAAACATGTTGTTAAAAGTGGGAAAGGAAAATAGCAAAATGTAGAGGAACAAAAGAATTCCATGCCTAAAGGAAGAAGAAAAAATCCATGTAAGAAAGTTCAAGAAATCAAACATAGTAATGAAAAAAATAATGATTTCATAAAAACCACTTCAGGGCCAAAACGTTCTGGAAAAAGAAAGAATTCAGAATCTGAGAAACTAGTTGAATATAATGCTGGTGAAACAGAAATATCAATAGTAAGAAAGAGTAAACAGCAAGAGAAACTTCAAGCTAAAGAACTGGATACTGGTACATCTGAATATCTTAAAGGAAGAGAAGCCAAAGGAAAATCTACTACCAATATTAAAATGCACAGTATTTTAAAAGATGACCAACCTATTTCTTCAAGACCCAGACGTTTACCAATTATAGACAAAGAAAGTGTCCTACTAATACAGAAAAAAGCTATTTTACAAATGGATTTGGATGCTAGATCTTTGGAAAGAAAATGTTCTGTATCAGAACAGACTATAGAAATGTTACAGAAGCAAAGAATGAAGTAGAAGCTGCAAAATTTCAGAGGAGAACCAAAGATAAAATCCTGTCTGAGAAACAAAATGAAGTTCAAAATGTTAAATTAAACATGCAAGAAATGTTGAATGAAATTTTAGAAAAAGATTGCATGAGGGAAATTATGGAGAAAAGATTATTTGCTAAAAAAGCAGAATTGGAAAGAAAATGTGTATCACTCATGAAGAATTTCGTCAGTTGCGAGAAATTCTTAATGCTGATGATTGGGAATATTACGGAGACCTGTGGGATGCTGCTGCTTTTCCAGCATCATCTAAGGGGACTTCAACTTGCGAATCAACTAAACCTAAGACGAGGCCATATAAGAGGCGTAAATCTTTTTTTGAAGAACCTTCTGTCCCCAAAACAAGATATCTTAAAGCAATATTAGCTGTTAATTTTATATCTGGAGTAAGCAAACAGAATGCTTCTAATTTTCAAGCAAGAGGAAAAGAAAACATTAAAGAAATAATTGACGCAGAAATTCATAATAGTTTTAAAACTTACCGAGAAGAGCTCCGAAAAGACGCGAAAAAACAAATATTTAAGGTAGAAGAAGAAAATAAAAAAACATATAACTTTCAAAGGCGTTCTTCAAAATGTTGTGAAATTAATGATTCAGTATCAATCAAAAGAATGCAATTTGGACCAAACCTTAAGTTAAAATCAAAGTATTTAGGCTCGTCTAAGATTGTCAAAATAAAGAATGACTCTTATGATGTTGTAAAAGAAGATCATGAAAGACCCACAAAAACAACTACATGCACTGAATACATAAAACCATCAACCCAAGCTGAAGAAGATGTATAAAATAATACTGATTATGACATTTAAACGTGGAGTGATACGACTGATAACCAAACTGTGATTTTTCATCTAATAATGACTTTTATTTCAGTTAATGTTATTTTTAAGATGAAATGAAGTTTTCGAAAATGTTAAAGATTGAAGATATTTTTAGATGAAAATTTCTGAAAAATAGAAGGGACTATTGACGATGTTATTGTTGCAAAGATGAAGGACTTTTAAGATGTTTCCTTATTGTCCTTAGCACACAGTGTTCCCCTCCTTTCGTACTTCTTTTTAGGTTTCAGCTTACTCATGATGATGGTTCTTTTACCGAAGACAATAATGATGTAAGATGACCAATGATTTATGATGTCAAGAGTAGAATAATGTCATTGAGGTCGACGCATAGCAGGAAGGCTGAATGTGGGATTTTAAATCCATAGCTTAATATTTTTCCTCGTGCTGTCTAAATTTTAGCTGTTGACTGTACGAATGAAATTGATAGAACTCTCGCCACTTTGTTTTATGAGAGGAGCTGTAAGATGTTATGGATGTTTCGTTAATATATGTAAGACGATATAGATGTTGTCATGTTAATAGATGTAAGATGTTATAGATGCTGTATTAATAGATGAAGGGTCTTATAGATCTATTAATGTTTCATTAAATGTGTTTTGTTTGAATATGAATTGTGATTTCTAAACTAAAGAACTCACATATATGTGAATAGAAATCGAATATAGCAGTACAGAAAAGCCTGGAAAGTATTTATATTAATGTTTAACAATGTATTTTTCTTAATTATATTTGTAAAAATATTGAAAACATGGCTACATGATATTTTGTTCTGAAATTCCCTTATTGAATTTCAGGTTTTTTATTATTGCTGTTGTCTCCTTTTCCTCGATACATATATATGCATAATTAATTTTAAGTATTCTTAAATATAAAATTCATGTATTTGTATAATATATTAGCTTTCATATGACAGAAAAATGTTATGTTGCTTAAAAATTTGGATCTGTTTTGCAGTGGTTTTTATTTATTTTTTATTTTTATTTATTTATTTATTTATTTATTTTTTTGGTGCGTGTGTGTGAAAGACTGACTTTCTATGAAATTTTTATACATATTACATATATATCTATACATAAGTCTTAAATTTAGTGCATTTTCTTTATTTATGAATTTTATTTAGGAATTTAGATTATATGTATATGTGCAGTAAAAGGCTAAAAGTTATGGGCTAGATGCCTATTTACAATGGTTACAGAATTATGCTTCTCTAGCCCTCAGGCAAGGTCAAACTTTTAATCGTGGAGTAAACAATTTGCTTGTACCATTCTGCAGGGATAGCTGTCCCAAGACATTTGGGACGTCTATACGTCTATACGACAGTTATTAAACCAGTGTTCAGAAAGAACTAAATCACTTTTCTCAATTTCAGTTTTTCTTAGGTTAGATGTGTAGAAGTAATTAAGGTACTAAATAATTCTCCAAAATAAAATAAGGTTAGAGTAAATGTGCATAATATAAATCATAGCAGAAAAAGTTTCACTCAGCAGAAAGCATTCTTTTATATCCTCCTGAAAAATTTTTGCATGGTGACTTATTAAATTAAGGATGCATTTTGCATTTACATGTTGTATTATTCCTTTACCATCAGAATGCTCAAGAACCACGAAATGGGCTGGCGATCTGCAAGGATGTCCCCATATTGCATATGTGTTAGTGATTGCTTCAGAGAGACAAAGCTTTCAATGTAGGTCATGTAATCATGCTTTATATCTCTCTAAAGCATTTGCAACATAAGCAATGTTTCACAGAGAAAGAATCAGTCAGTGCATTAAAATAACAATTCTCTACTGTTGTATTACTTTTTATTTTCCTTCTTCTCGATTATGTGAGCAGTTAAAGCATCAAAAGCAAAACTAGTGTAATTCTTTGGCATATTGAATGACACTAAATTCAGTTTGCCAAACAAAAAGTATTGTAAATGGAGGAGGGAAATCCTTGAAGGGATTGAAAAGTTACCCCCAAAGTGGGCAGAAGTAATAGAAGATTATGCATAATGTGTTGATAATTAAATTTATGCAATTTTTTTCTTTTAACCATGTTTTTAATGTTACTGTTCTATCATCCAGCTGAAAAGATCTTTATTGTCATTCCCTTGCCAGTGTGTGAGCATTAAGCCATAAGATAATCTTCATTTACCAAATCCAGAAAACCAGGTATTGATGAACAGCTCTTTTTGGATATATTTTCTGTTCGGTTCTCACCAGAATTTGCTTTGATTTCATAAAGTGAATCCCATCTGTGTAATCATAATTAATTGTAATTGCCAGTAATAGTTCTGCATGTCATTTGTTCATGTGGCATTGTTGTTGGTTAGTAGAGATGCCATTTTTACAGATTCTGATGGTACTGTAGACTTCATGGCTTACTCAACTCTTGACATTGTTGGCCAATGCAAGCAGGGCTTCTACATAGCCTCTGTAATTTCCTACCATCATTTTAATAATAATTATCATGCTAGATTGAAAGTCAGGTAACTGATGGCTTGCAGCTATATTTTATTAACAATTATCCTGAAATGAATGAATTTCAAATTTTTAGGCTGCTGAGCAGTCATCTGCAACTGGCTTCCAGTATTTTGGATTTGTGTACAACTGCTGTTTCATTTTGAATTGCTATTCCTATGACTTTGGTGTCTTGGCGCTTTGTGTGTAGTTTATTTCGGGTCTTACAACTTTATTTATATTCTTAAATATGATATAAATGGACAGTTTATAATATATAATGTTCAATATTTTTGTTTATTTTAATTTAGACAGAAGCAGTTATGTGCTTGAAGATGTATTATTTAGATCTCTTGAAAAAGAAGTCCCTGTATCTGAAGTTAAAAGTAATTGTGATATAGTTCCAAAAAATCATCAAGCTTCTCATTCTCGGCGGAAATCATACCAAAGTTCTCGTAGCTGTTCAAGTCAATCAGAAGATGAGGAAAAATGTATAAATGTGAGTGCATTTCCTTTGTAGTTTCATACTGAATTCTTAAATTTTACCTAGCTTAAAAATTATACATGTGTGTTTAAATATGCAGCAGGGGTGTTTGTGCTCGGGGGAAAGCCCAGAATTCCAAGGATTTTGAACTTCGATGCCCGGAATTTCCGGGCATCGTCGTTCAAAAGGAAGTAGGAATAATAATGAATTATTTATTTTGATCTGGGTAATTTTGTTTGCTTTGAAAGCAGAAAACACAAGGTCAGTCTGTGTGGTGAAAACTTTTCCTTTCTTTCTCCAAAGGCAGTGATAATGCGTGAAAAGGGGGGGGAACTTCTTTTTTGTTCTTTCCTTATTGTGAGTTATGACTCATTCTCCCGGTTCTCGGACATTCTCTTCTGGATTCTTTTCGGCAAGTAGGCGCGAAGAAAAAAAAGGGAGAGACTTCATTCGACCAGATGTGCGATCACATGACTCTGGGTTCAAAGGTCTTATCTCTCCTGGCGTGCCGCCAATAAGTAGAAAAGGGGGATTTTTTGCCGTATTAGCTATTTGTCATTGATCGCTTCTCAACTTTTTTTTCTACGCTGTGTAAAATTTTCGTTTCATTTATTGATGCACGTGTAAATTTTTCATTTCGTTTATTGAAATATTTTTTTTATTTATGTATGCAAGAGAATTTCACTATGAAATTTCTCGATATAAATAGTGATATTATACAATTAGAAGAAGGTGTCCGGAATGCATTTAGTTGGAATTGGATTGAATGGAGAGATGGTAATGGGGATACCATCGGCACATGGTGCAAGAAAATAAATGTTGCTGGACAAGCATATTGTGTTTTTTGTAACTCACTGCTAAAGTATGGTGGGGAAGGATTCAAGGCTTTCACAAATCATTCTAAAACTGTGACGCACATAAAATATTCAAAGTGCATTAGACATTCAATGACTTTAAGTAATTATGCTAATTCAAAAAATACTGATGACTTACTGGAGACTGATGCTCGGCCATTGGATATAGTGACAAGAAAAGCATGCCAAGAGGTATTAATAACTCCGTTTATTGCCAAGAGTTCTCATTCTTTCAATGTAGCTCCCAATTTAATTGAACTCTGTAAACAGTTGAGCCACGATCAGACGGCACTAAACTCGTTGGAAATGTCCAGGACTACTGCATGTTATAAGATGAAATATGGGCTCGCAAAAACTATTAAGGAAAATACCATTAAAACTTTAAAGGAGACTCCATTTTCTCTAAATTTGGATGAAAGTACTAGCAATGCTCAAGAAAGTATACTGGCAATATTGGTGCAGTTTTATGACAACAATCAAAATGAAGTTGTAGTTCATCATTTTGCATCTCTAAAGATGGAATCTTGCAATTCAGAAGCTGTTTTTAAAGCAGTTGTTAATACTATTGAAGATAATAATATTCCATGGGCAAACTTGATTAGTGTATTAATGGACTCATGTAACACCATGTGTGGAAAAAAAAGGGTGTTGAAACCAGACTACGATCAAACAAAGCACCCCACTTATTAGATATTGATGGTGACGCATGTCACACAGCTAATAACTGTGCAAAAAAATTTGCTTCATGTTTTGATAGATACTTAGAAGATTTGTTCGATGACATCTATTTTGATATGAAAAGCTGCAGTAAAAGAGAAAATTTTTTCAAAATCTGTGAATCCCTTGCCATTAAAAAACTTAAGCCCTTGAAGAGACCAGACCATAGGTGGGTGTACATTTTATGTGTTTTAGAAAGAATCAAAGATCTGTGGGATGCTCTTATTGCATTTTATTTTCACTACTTGGATAAAACTGATAAAGGGGATTATTTTTCTTATGATGAAACTGTATACAATAAAAGAAATATTTCTGCAGCTCAGAAAAAAATTGTTGAAGGGGTGTATTCTTGCTTGCATTCCCAACAACTCGCAAAGGATGCTTTAGCTCGGAAAAAAAGAATACTAAATGGGTTATTTATTATGCAAAACAAAACTTTATTGCATATGGCATTATATTCAGCAGTATTACCAGAGTTCAACACATATATTAAATTATTTGAAACAAAAAAACCAATACTTCATTTAATACATTCCAGTATTTATAAATTGATGGCAAAATTTTTCTCTTTTTTTTATGAAGCCAGAAAATATAGAGTGCACATCTTATAATGATTTATTAAAGGTTGATGTCACAAATCCAAAGTTCCATCTACCTAGCAAAGTAATATTTACTGGTGCAGAAGCTTCCACGCTCCTGAAGAAATTATCAAAAAATCATCCAATAGCAAAAGAATTCCAAATTTCTCTGATGAAAGCTTATACTAATACAGCACAGCATATGGAACAGAAATTACCCCTTAAAAATTCATATCTAATTAGTTTTACAGCATTAGATCCAGAGCTAAGAGGTAAAACCAGTACAATATTAGCTTTTGAAAAATTATCATCTTTTATGTCCCATATTTTGAGTGATAATGAAAAGTCAAAAGTAGAAGCTGAAATAAGGTTATATGAGAGTGATATTGATATCACCAAAGAAATGCTCTACACAACTGATGAAAGTGGAAATCAGGTCAAGTGTACAACTGATAAATATTGGTCTAAAGTTTTTAATTTAAAAGATGATTTCACAAATGATTATAAGTATCCTACATTGGCTAAATTGGTCAAAGCCTGCCTTAGCTGCTTCCATGGCCCATTAGTGGAAAGTGCATTCAACTTAATGGATACACTTGTCACTGACTATAGAACCTCTCTTAAGATTGATTCCCTAGATGCAGTGCAGACTATTAAATGTGATTTAATGGCTTCTAAAGAAACCTCATGTGAAAAATATGGCTCAAAAAATCCAATGACTGATCCAATTCACAATGATCTCTTACTGAATATGAACAGAAGTTGGAAAACATATCAAGAAGATTTAAAAACATGTATTTCAGATGAGTCACCTATAAAAGTCTCTGAAAAACCTTCTACATTAGCAGAAAAGCAAACTGCTTCTACCTCTGCATGTGCAGTTCTCGAGGAAATTTCTTCAACTGTAAATGAGGAAAATAAAAGTCAACCTTCCTGCAATTATGAAGTTCACCACAAAAGAAAGACAATCCCACAAACATCAGAAAATAAAAAAAAAGCAGCAGAAGAAATTAGATAATTTTTTTTAAAAGAATTAATTCAGGTAATTTAAAATATTTACATAAAATGTAGTAGTTTATATGTGTGAAAATTTATGGTTATTAATTTTTCAAAAAAAGTAATTCATTGAACTTTTATAATTAGGTCATTCAATACTTCATAATTGTAATTTTTCATTTCTCTCCCCCCCTTCTCGAAACTCCAAAATGTCGGTAGTAAGTCCATAAAAGTTTCAGGGGATTTTTTGGGGTCCCACAAACACCCCTGATGCAGTCAAAGTGCAAATATCCTCATTTATGGTGTTCTGTAGAATTTGCAATTAGATGATTGACAGAATTTTTGTAGCTTAATAATTTAATGAATTGTTGGGTAAAATGGGCAATAATTTTGGCATCAAGTAAGTGAGAGATATTTAGCAATTGCAGCTGTGGGAGTTAACTGGTCATATGATTTTAGCATCAGTGGTTGAGGGACAAGGGACTGAAGTTTATGTATTCAGGAAGGTTATTCATGGGCACCCTTAAATATGAAATTTCTATTTCAACTAACCTTGATATATATTACTCTCCCCTTATATATTACTCTTACGTGCAGTCTGTTGTTGGTATGGAGGAGGAAACCTTATTTTTTTGTAAAAATGTGTATATTAAGTAAGCCAAAAAGACTAGGTTGTTGTTATTTATTCTCAAATTTTCTCTTAAGTAAATTGTCTCTGAAAATTTTTTTAGAATTAATAGTAAATTATTCCCAAAAATAAATTTTCTGTAAAAACTTTGAAAGTTTTCATAATTTGTTTATTTTTAGTTAGAATGAAATATTTAATTATTAATTAAATAGGTTAGAATCATTTGAAGGAAATGCCAATCCAGAAATCTAATATTTAGATGTGTTTATTAGCAACTGCTTGAATTACAAAGTGTAACCATTAAAAATTTCTTACAGGTATTGAACTGCAGATTTCGGATCGAAAATAAATATAAATTTCAATTTTTTCCTCCCTTAATGATGTTACATTATTATTTATGTATGTTTTGGTAATCATTTAGTAAGCGAAATAAAAAAAAATTAAATATTTTTTTTATTAATAAAATTTTCATTTTGTTTTTAAAAAAATTCTGTACCCTCAGCTGTTTTCAGATCGTGGATTTGGCCCACATGTAATTTGAGTTTGAAACCACTGCCATAGACTGCTAGTGTGATAAACCAGCTGCATTTGAAGTCTAAGCAGTACCATTTGTAACATGAACTAAACCAACGGTTTTGAACCTTTTTTTGCCCCATGCATTCTTTTCACCATTGCTAGATGATGATTCTCCCCTTCCTTTCTGTAACTCCAAAAATACATATACGTTTATTTAAATTTAGATTATTTTTAATCTGTTTTTTAAATTAAGGAACGAAAAGTATGGAAAATGTTGATAAATTCCAAAACTTGAAAAGAAGTATTTTTTAATATTCATAAACTAAAAGTAAATATTTGACACATCAAGAAAAGGCTAACCTCAATTCCTTCTTGAAAGTAAGAAATTCCCCCCCCCCGGGCCTAGGGAAATGATTACTCACTGTCATATTTTACATCACTTTTTTTCCTCTGCAGTTCCCCATTATAGTTTTAGTTTATCTAGTAAAGAAGGGGCAATGAACTGAAGATAATTTTAATGGTAAGTAGTGTTAAATAATACAGAGCTGTACCGTGTAAATATGAGTATAATAAATAATTATTTTGCTACAACTTTAATAATTTCTGTGTACATCCCCTCCCCCTCTACTTAAGAAACATGATTAACAGTTTCTTGTGAATATTTCAGGTAATTGGGTTTAGTATGACTACTGAGTTAGAAACATTAACTGAAATGTTTCCTCACCTTCATATTTTGGAAGCAAAACAGTTTCTGTGCATGGCAGATGGAGATTGTGAAAAAGCTGTGCAACTGATATTACAGAAAGAAGAGAGTGGTCAGCAAATGAGTGAGTCTATAGTAACCAAGAGTATAGTACAGCACACAGTATATGGTCCTAAAGAGAAAGTTGTAGAAGATAAGAAACTCAGAGAGCAGATATTAAAAAGGTAAATGTGTCTGCTGTATCTTAGTAGCCAATAAAAAGGATTTTGGATCATCTACAATTTTGTGTTGCTGTATCATTAAGCTTTTTCATAATTTCCTTATTATTGTTCTGTCTTAAAATTTTGTGTTGCTGTATCATTAAACTTTTTCATAATTTCCTTATTACTGTTCTGTTTTACACTTTGGTGCCTCATATCTGCTCAAGAAAATTCGTTCATTTAACACTTCAGAAAGAAGCTTTTACTTTTTACTTTTTTTATATATTTTTATGTGTAACTTGATATATATATATATATATATGTATGTACTCATGTTTTGATGTTACAGTTCCAGTCTGACATAATTTTCCTGTCTGACTCCTCAAGAAGTCGGACTGGAACATAAAAATATGCAAATCAGTAATGTATTATAAAATTTTAATGTGATTGGTGTATCTACTTTAAATAAATTTAAAAAATTTCAAAATAGAAATTGATTGTCTTTAATTTTGATTTATCATTTTAAAGTGTAATAGGTTTCTATTTACAGTTTTAGCAACTTCCTAGGATGGTTTAATGTACTTCTAACTAAATTATTGAGATTTTGATGACATGTTCATAAATTATCAAAAATTTAAACTCAATACATATTTAACTTGAAATAAAGAGTTGGTAAACAATAAATTATTCTGCAAAAGCAATAAACCATTGTGAAAAAAAAAAAGACATGCAGCTTTGAAATTCATTAAGTGCATAATGCAGAAATCTACTACTTTCATACTGATAGCATTTGTAATGTCTGTGAGGTTTTGGGCATTATATTATCAACTGAGATAACATACCCCATCATAAAGCTGCACAAATTATATATGTATGACACTCTACAGCATGGTAATCTAGTGAGAAATGCACTTTAATGTGATTTTGTGCTGATGTTTGTTGATGATTTTAGTTTTGTGCTATTCAGTTATTGAATTTGGATAGTCCAGCTGTAAAACTGGAGAAGCATTAGAAAGTACCACAAAATCTTTTCCAAAAGAGACTTTCCCTTTAATCTGCCATACATCTGGATTTTGATACCCTAGCATACTGTTACGGATTCGGTATTTAAATAGCTAATGATAGTAGAATTATAAATAAACTTGTTTTATCCTCGTATAGTGCAGTGCGTGACGAATAGTAAAAGATTATTAAAAGGTTGACAGGTAGAAGTACATCCTGATGACCGAGAAAAGATGGCATTTACTATGGAACAAGGACTTTGGCAGTTCAAGGTAATGCCATATGGACTCTGCAATGCGCTGGCTACATTCGAGCGCCTAATGGAGCCTGTTTTGAAAGGTCTTTCCTACGAGGCCTGTCTGATGTACCTGGATGATATCATCATCATCGGAAAGACTTTTGAAGAACATCTAGAAAATCTTAGAAAGGTGCTTCAAAAACTGAACAAAGCCAATCTAAAGTTGAGTCCCACAAATGCAAATTATTCAGACAGGAAGTGACTTACTTGGGACATGTCATCTCTGCAGAAGGTGTGTGCATGTATCCTGGAAAGGTGTCAGATGTTAAATCCTGGAAACGTCCTAAAAATGTTCATCAGCTAAGAAGCTTCCTAGGACTTTGCACATACTATAGGAGATTTGTGAAGGACTTTTCTTCCATTGCAAGACCCCTTCACAAGCTGACAGAGAGTTCTTGTGGGCAAAAGAATGCGATGATGCATTTAACAACCTAAAGGAAGCTTTAACATCTGCTTCAATCCTGGCATATCCTCAGCGCGAAAAACCATTTATTGTCGACACAGACGCAAGCAATGAAAGTTTCGGTGCTGTTTTGTCCCAAGAAATAGATGCCCAAGAACGTGTAGTGGCTTACTGGAGCAAGTACCTGTCTAAACCGGAGAGGAATTACTGTGTCACCCGGAAAGAGTTGCTCGCCATAGTCAAAGCCATGGAACATTTCCATCATTGTCTATACGGCAGAAAATTCCTGCTCTGCACAGATCATGCATCATTGGCCTGGCTTTCAAATTTCAAGAATCCTGAGAGTCAACTGCAGGAATATAACATCACTATACCTCATCGGAAGGGATAATCATACAGAAACGCCGACACCCTGTCTAGAAGACCTTACACAGAAAGCTACTGATATTGTTCCAGGGTCGAAGTGAAATATGAGCTGCTCAGTCCGGTCGCATGACAAATTACGACATCAACATTGGCTCATCGAGACCCGTGGAGTGGTGATGAAGTCAGGAAAGACCAGCAGGAAGACCGTGACATTAAACCCATAATTGATTTAATGAAGTCATCAAACAGAAAACCTACCTATCAGGACATTTCTATCTATAGTCCTACAACAAAACAATACTGGGCACTCTGGGATTCACTTCACATTCGAAAAAGGCGTCTTTTATCATCAACATCCCCAGTCAGATGACATGGTAGAGAGGTTCAATCGAACCATCCTTAATAACCTCTCATACCAGAAATCCAAATCGGATGATGGGAAGACTTTCCGATGGCAACTGATACTTCCAAGAACCCAGATTCCTGATGTCCTTAAAGAACTACATAACAGCCCTACAGGAGCTCACTTTGGAATAATGAAGACCTTGCAGAGAGTTCGTGAGCGCTTTTACTGGAAAAATGCAAAGGATGACGTGCAAAAGTAGTGCCAATCTTGTGATGCCTGTGCAAGCCGGAAAGGACCAAGGAAACGCAGCCGAGGCAAGCTGCCACGGTAGGTGCACCTTTTGAACGTATCACCTTTGACATCTTGGGACCTCTGCCGTGAACTGCTGATGGCAACAAATACATGTTCGTTGTCATTAATTACTTCACCAAGTAGCCTGAAGCATATCCTATTCCTGATCAAGAGGCTGTCACAGTAGCTGAGGTGATGATACAGCATTGGATTTCTAGGTTCGGAGTGCTTCTTCAGTTACATTCCGATCAGGGAAGAAATTTTACCTCAGCAGTAATCAAAGAAATATGCAAACTACTCGACATTGACAAACCCAAATGACACCAGTACATCTCCAGTCAGATGACATGGTAGAGAGGTTCAATTGAACCATCCTTAATAACCTCTCATTAGTGGTTTCCAGAAACCAACAGGACTGGAACAAGAAATTACCGTTTTTACTGGCTTACTGCAGTGCTGTCCATGGGGACTACCAGCTATTCCCCATCACAGATGCTCTTTGGTCGTGACCTTCATCTGCCTTGTGATCTCCTGTTTGATCACCCTCCAGATGCTCCTTCATCACCTGAAGAATATATTCAAGATCTCCAGGCCCGGTTTGAAGTGATGCGCAACTTTGCACAAGAGCGAGTCAACTTGGCGACAGAGAGAATGAAGACCGATACGACACAAGAGCTACTGAACATCAATTCCATGAAGGAGACAAGGTGTGGTTATGGAATTGACTCAACGGAAAGGACTTTGTCCGAAATTGCAGTCAGCTTGGGATGGACCGTACACAGTCCTAAACAAGCTGAATGATATCGTGGTTTGGATCCGTAACTCATCAAACTCTAAACCTAAAGTCGTTCATTATGACAGGTTAGCTCATTACTATGGCCATAGTACATACTGTATATAATTGTAAATAGTATAAGACCATGGTTCTTTTTGTTTCTAAATGTGTATTTCATTTGATTTGTATTTAGTATTTGATTTGTTTAAGTTAGTTATTGCATTTATTGTTTATGTTGTTTGTTATTGTAATGCAGTGTTTATTACTGCATTTATGCCTTAGTTGTAAGTTTGTCTTCCTGTCCAGGGATTGTACTGCCCGGAATGTACAGTCCTTGGGAAGGGGGCAGTGCTACGGGTTTGGTATTTAAATAGCTAATGTTAGTAGAATTATAAATAAAATTGTTTTATTCCCCGTGCAGTGCAATGCGTGACGAATATTAAAAGAAAGCTAAGCCGGAAAATTAAAAATACAAGAGCATGTGCATTTAACATTAAATAAATAAATATTTCTTTTGGCTTTCGAGAAATTGATAAAACAATCTTGTGTGTGATTAAAAAAGCTTATAAAAAGGAGGAAAACATCTCAATTCAGTTAGTTAGTTATTTTAAGAGTTTATTTAGAAAGCTGCTCTTGTTGGCTATAGTGAATTGGCAGGTTAGCTTCCCCTAGCTGTTTTGAATTAAGTTCTGTTGAACGTTTGAGTAGTTAAAAGTTAACTGCTGTGAGATATTGTGATATTGTATGAATATCTGAGAAAATTTACACATTTTGTTTTATTTGTTGTGATAATAATAAATTTTGTTCATTTTTCATCAGACTTGTGCATTCAATTCATAATGAACCCGTACGCACACAACAATACATATGCCAAGAAACTCTGCAGGAAACAACAGTAAAAGAGCTTGATTGAGACATTTATTCCAGTTTCAACTGGCAAAGTAGACAGGCCACTGACAAAAGCTTTTAACTTACAGCATGTTTAAATGTAGTAAGCATATGAGCCTGGAATTTACTTTGTTTTAATTACATTTTAAGTACGTGTACACTTTGATTCATCATTATGTTAATATTTTCCCTGACAAAACTTTTGTAAAATCTAGTTTGTAATAGATCATTTAAATTTTGATGCAATTTGTCTATTTGAAATTTCATATCTTAATGCAACTTTTTATGCTTACCATATTGGTGCATGCTCATGTGGTGTGTCGGCTGGAGAAGTAATTATGAAATTTATGTGTAGTTGTTATGTAGAATTGCATAGCATTATAAATATCAATTCATTTTAGGTATGCTTATATTGATCAAGATGATGATATAAGAGAACATAAACCTGTAGCTCCAAAAACTGTAAGTTTTTTCCTTGTATTCATGTCTGTGTGTCTTTTTTTTTTTTTTTTTTTTTTTTTTTTTTCAGAAAAAATCTTAAGTTTATTTCGCATAAAAAAATTTTCGTTAAAAAATATTATTTTCACATTCTAATTGACGCAAAGATATTTATAAAACTGAGGGTAATAAATTTTGAGCAAAAGTAGCAGTCACTTAAGCTATATGAAATCTTTGGATTTTTAACTCTGTGAGTGATATAAATTTCATAATAAGATGTTTGCTGCAGAAAAGGGTAATTAACATAAACTATTGGTCATCAAGTATAGAAATTGAAGTCCTGATTATAATACATTATTAAGTTTAATGTTTGTTATGTTGCGCAGTTTAAGTGACTATCAGAAGTCAAGTTCTTTCTGTATAAAAGCAAGTATTAAACATGAATAAAATAAGAAAAATTTCACATTTAAAAAATAATTTTCTCTTGACTGCAGTTAACTCTAAAAACAGTCAGACATTTTTGTACAATTATTTTAATGCTTTCTCAAAGTTGTGTAAAATTTCAAATTCCAATAGTGGTTTCTAAACATTGTGAAAGAAACTCAGTGATTTGTTCTCTATTCCATAGAGATTAAGTTGTTGGTGCCCAGTTTGTGCACTTGTAAACTCATTTGTAAAGTTATTGGCAATACTAAGAGGTACCGAGTCTAAAATCTTAACAACATACTATATACATGGCAAAACATAGTTTTTGAGACAATTATAAATTAAGCATATACTTAGTGTAGAGCCATAAGTGTGTTAAAGAGGATTCTTAGATCAAAAAGAAAAACTGTCAAGACAAAGTTGCTTGCTGACCTTAGTATGCATCTGTGCATTTGTAGAATAACCTTGTAGGGTTTATATTTATTTTAACTAACATTTATTTTAAGTTTAAACTATCTTTCCTGTCAAGCCTTACTTTCCCCTGTAACTGCCAATGCCAGAGTATGTAAATTTTAGTAGAACGCGCAAGGATTCAAATTATCAGCGGAAGTATTCTGAGTTAAATAGAAAGGAAACGAGTTCAAATGTGTGCTTTCTTGCTTCACGAGTGTGGAGGTGGCTAGTTAGAAATTGAAGAACCACGCGTTTCGGCTTGTGTGCTTGCCTCGGCAGTTTGTTAATCTCTCAACGTAATATTCAGAGCTTGCTGAATTATCAGCGGTACTTTAGAACGCAGTGAGATTAGTTACGTTTAGAGAGCCTCATAGTTAGTCTCTTGTTATTATCTCCTTTTAGTTTCATATTTTTATTTTACCGCCGGGTCGGCGTAGTTTGTGAGCGTCAAGAGCACGCACGCATTTGTAATTTCTAAAGTTGAATAAAAAGGGACTTAAACCCTTCTCAAGACTGCTGTCTAATTTCCAGTTTCAGCAGTCACCACTTTGTTGCGTGCAGGATGGAGGCGCGCAACTTTACATTGGCGCCCGAACACTTGTCGAACTGAAATGGCCGAAAATTGGATGGAACTTACTGGACAACAACAAGAAATGGCAAGCCAATTGGAAGGATTTGGATACCTGGTCCAGACGTTGAGAGCGTCAATCAAGCCAAACGTCAATTTCGACGGAAAAAATTCGGTGGCGATATTTCTAGAAAGCCTCGACAATCACTTTCAGCTCTACCCTGTGCCTGAAAGACAAAAAGTTGCCATCGCCACATCTGCACTAAGAGGACAGGCCGCGCTATGGTGGAAGAATATAGGCAAATTTTTATTAGGGGAATTCGGAGGCCAGACATATACATTTGAAAATTTCAAAATTCGTTATTAAAGACCTTCCCCATAGTGGAAGATCGAGTAAGGCTGGAAGCCGAACTATATAGTTTTTATCAACGGGGATATAGAAGAGTTGACGGACTTTATTCTGCGAAAAAAATTAAACTGACGGATATGCTGTATGGGAAGAAACCCGACGCGGAGATTATTGAAATAATCTTACCAAGATTGTTACCTGCTGTTCAAGACTACTTCGAAATTAGAAACCCAAGCACATTGCAGGAGCTCTTCGAATTGGCGGTCAAGTTCCAAAATCGCAGAATAGCGGAAAAAGCTAGAGGGGCATCGTATTCTCAAAGTATCCGAAGGCAATCTTCAAATGAGCAGACCAGAAATGCAAACCGCTCTTATGGGGGAAAGAGCTATCAAGCTAACTCATCGAAGCTCGAAGGTCAAGGCCCAAAAAGGAAATTTGAAAACAAACGTCCGCGTACCCAGAAGGCAGAAGTTGAAAGGAAAGCTTTAAACGAGTAGAGGGGCCTGTGAAAGCGAGGGTCCAGACCCCGGAAGTTTTAAAAAAAAACCCTCAAAAAGACACTTAAATACGGTCATCGTAAAGAACTCACATCTACCAATTATACAAGTCCTGGTTGGCGATGTACCAGTAGAAGCCCTCATCGATACAGGAGCAGAAGGTAATTTTATGAGTGATACATTTTTCAAGAAGAATTTTAATAGGTTACGATTATTTAAAAACAAAAACACAGAAATTATAGCAGCGCAAGGAAAAACCTGTCAATGCATCGGGAAATTATCATTAAACATACAGGTAAAAGATGAAAGCCTCAAAGTATTAATTTTTGTAGTAAAAAATTTGCAAAATCCACTTATTTTAGGTATGGAGTTTTTAAAGGGCCGCGAAGGGCCAAACTGAATTTTCAGGACAGTTCTATTGTGCTGGAGATGGACCGGAGGGTGGTGGAACCAGTGGAACAACCGCAAGTGGACCTTAGCCATTTGAATGACCATGAAAGTCAAGCCATCCAGCAAGTGGTGAGTACTTTTTCAAACTTGTTTTCAGAACGGCCTGGTAGCTGTCAAATTGTTACGCATCAGATACAGTTAACTGCCGACAAACCTTGTAGGACTAAACCTTATCGCTATGATAAACAGAAAGACCTAATCATAGAAGAACATATTCAGGAAATGTTAAAGAACAAAATAATAACGCCCATAAATAGTGAGTACGCGAGTCCAGTCGTACTATGTAGGAAAAAGAACGAGTTTCCTCCTTCGGATAAAAGGGCTTGGAGGTTTGCTATCGATTACAGAAAACTGAATAGTATTACTAAATTCCCAGTTTACCCTTTGCCGGTTATAGAGGAAATTATTAGAAAGATTAAATCTACAAGATACATGACTACTTTGGACTTAACGTCTGGCTACTATCAAATAGCTATGAGACCCGAAGACATACATAAAACCGCGTTTATAACAAAAATCGGGCACTTATGCATTTTTACGCATGCCCTTTGGGTTGTGTGGGGCCCCATCAACATTCCAGAGAGCTATGGACATTGTTCTAAAGGCCTGTCCTAGGAAAATCGACTTTAATCTATCTAGATGATATAATTATAACGAATAGTACGTTGGAACAACATATTAAAGATCTAGAAGATGTTTTTAAATTATTAAAAGAGGCCGGTCTTACAATTAACGCCTCAAAATGCAAGTTCGCAACTAAAGAACTTAAATATCTGGGTTATAAAATTTCGCAAAAGGGTATAGAAACTCAAGATTCAAAAATAAAAGCAATCAAGAATTTCCCACCTCCCAACACCGCCAAGAAACTTTCTTCTTTCCTTGGGTTATGTTTTTATTATCGAGCATTTATAAAAGATTTCGCTAATATTGTTGAACCCCTGTTAGTAATTAAAAGAAAGAAAAGTAAATTCATGTCGACAGTGGAAGCAAATACCGCATTTGAAAGATTAAAAGAAGCGCTCATCAATGCCCCTGTTTTGAAATTCCTGGAGGGGGACGAAAACCTGGAAATTGCAGCAGATGCGTCGGACTATGCGTGGGTATGCGTGTGGGTGCTCGGTTCTTATGCAAAATAGCCATACTTTGGCATTTTTTAGTAAAACGTTGAATCATACACAAAGGAATTATACAGCTACAGAGAGAGAAACATTAGCCGTATTAATGGCTGTACACAAATTTCGAGTTTATTTCGGCAAAGTGCTAGTAGCAGTCTTTTCGGATCATGCAGCTGTTGGTAGACTTTACTCGGGGAAAAACCTAATGCCCAGGTTAATAAGATGGACTTAGCATACGCCATATCAAAATGGTTTCGTATAGACCACAGGCAAACATTGCAGAAAGAGTTAATGAAAACGTAAAAATAATTCGCAGTTACGTTAGCACACATCACAAGCGCTGGGATGGCTACATAAATGAGTTAGCTTATGCTTTAAGAACGGCAAATCACGATACTACGGGAAAAACCCCAGCAGAATTATTTTTTAGGCCGAAAGTTAATTACGCCTTTAGATAAATTATTCTTTGTGCAACAAAGAGAGCAAGAATTTAAACAGAAAGACGTGCAAACGCTTATTGACCAGGCGATTAAAAGCCCGGATATGGCAAGAAATAGGCAAAAAGTATATTATGATAGAAAACGCCGTGAAGCAGATTTTAAAGTTGGGGATAAAGTGCTGAAGCGGAAATTTTCTTTATCAAGTGCCCTAGACAATTTTACTGCAAAGTTAGCTCCAAAATTTAAAAGCCCCTATGTAATTCAGGAAATCAAAGGAGTCGTATTATACCTTAAGAACGAGAGAGGGGAAATTTGTAAAGCAAGTCCCGACCAGGTGAAAAAATACTATAATCATCAAAATGATTTTGAAATCCTTAAAAGTTTCTTGCAGGACTCAAGCGTACAAGAAGTAGAAGGTCCAGAAGTAACGTCACCCGTTCCACCACCCAAGAAGCAGAGAACTGAAGGGAAACCTATCCCTTCTACAACCCATGCGACGGTACCGAAAAGAAGAAACAAAAACTTTCAGATTCCAGCATTTAAGAAAAACAAGAAAGCAAAGCCGCCGCGTAAAGAAACCTTGGTAAAGAGGAAAACACCACTTACAACGTATCGCAGTAGAAATTATACATCAAGGAGAACGCTCCCAGGGCCAGAGAGTCAGGTGCAAACAAGGCCGCCGTTCCCGAAAATAAAAAGACAGCAGGAGGAACGAAAAGACCAACA